CACAATTACATCGGGCCTGACTTTGGTCAGTGACACGTCACAATTACATCGGGCCTGACTTTGGTCAGTGACACGTCACAATTACATCGGGCCTGACTTTGGTCAGTGACACGTCACAATTACATCGGGCCTGACTTTGGTCAGTGACACGTCACAATTACATCGGGCCTGACTTTGGTCAGTGACACGTCACAATTGCATCGGGCCTGACTTTGGTCAGTGACACGTCACAATTACATCGGGCCTGACTTTGGTCAGTGACACGTCACAATTACATCGGGCCTGACTTTGGTCAGTGACACGTCAAATTGGTACATTTGACTACCATAAAAAAAACTTTAGTGAGGCCTTTAGTGATGCAGCTCTAATCCATGGTCGACGTTTTTTTTTTTTAAATCTTCGTAGAAAAAGCATGCCCGATTGTACCTCACAGGTTGTAAAATGTTAAATATTGCTCGACATAAGGAGAAAGTCGACTATTGAGGAGAGAGTTGATGTCATCTCTCTTACATGTATCTTCCAGTATTGTAAATATTTCGTCACTCTGAATCTTTATGCAAGATCTAAACATGAAAAGGATGAGTTGGTATGGTTTGTCTCTTTCACATTAGTCAACGGCAGCTTGAAAAGATGTTGACTTGAAAGTCACATGAAGGATCTGCACAAATAGCCCACATTCAAAAGAGGTAAAAAATGATGTCAAGTGGTCTTGATCGATCTTCGTTATATATCATATAAAGCATCAGGGTGATATATTATAAAGTCTAAAATGTTATCTTGGGTTTTGTATCTACGTTTATCGATGAATGTTTAATGTACATTTCATATAAAAAGACAATATAACCAGTATCATTCTGAATCATAAATCAATGTAGTCACAAGCTAGAAAATAACGCATGAGCTTCAGAAATGACTTTCCCTTAAAACATATCTGCCTTAATCAGGAACTTCTGTCCAGACTTACTGCCAGTACATTCACTTTCGATGTAAAGTTTTCCAGAAATTGAATGGACCATTTCCAGAGCGACACGATATATCATGAACGATTCAAAGTCAAGATAAAATATTTGGCAGCATATTTTGCAGTTTGACCACTTTGCTGTTATCATATCACTGTCGACAACGCAGCCAGTCATTAACATAGACATCAGTTCTTGATAGATCGCCAAATCCATGCATACCAATCATGCAAGACCAACTATCGATCTACAAAGATGGTGATTGACTTGTGAACCTTTCTTAGTCCCTGCTGTCATAAACAGAGCTCAATATGTCAATTATATAATGCGTGCTTCTAAATTAGAATCGGATCTATCGGCAAACAAGCTCTTAAGGGTAATGGCGAATATATGAATATTTTGCCACAAGAAATATGAACGACTAATTGATACTTATAGAACACAGTTCTTTGGTAGTCTCGTTTGCTTTCAGCGAAATCTGTCTGTAATAGCATCTTAAAAAGAACGAACAGACATAGTTAGAAAGACCAACAGGCAATGCCAAATACAAGTACCACATGCAATATGTTTCCTTCTCATTTGTGTTGATCACGTAATATCCACACTATGACATTTAAGGGAGAATGATCACCATATGTTAAACAACACAGATTGACGCAGATCTAGGGTGAATGACTGGGAACATTTCTCACGTGTGTACTTTCCTTTTTGTAGTCTATTTATGAATTCAGTGTGGGTTTCATCAATATTGGGTGTAAGTTCATAATGATGCTCCCTAGATATTATCAGTTGTGAATTATTCATTATTTACTCCCACAATGCAGCGACAATGTCCCAAATCATTTAATCACGAGGTTACAGGCTACGACATGGTTTCAGCGTCCAATCAAACTTAATATGGATGGGGTCTGTTTGCAGCAATGACAGAAACTAAATCACTCCTGGATCAATAGAATTACCTTGTGAAACATCCTCTTAGGTAATTGGAAATAATTCAACCGAAATAGCATCCAGCGACAAAAATAAATCCTCCGGAATAAATTCTGCTTCTCCTTCTAATTAGACGACCTAATAACTCAAAGATAATTTGCTTCTTGGAAGCATGCCTTTTTATTATATTGAACACAAAAACGAAATACACCAAATGTATAAACTGCTTTAAGACGATGTCCTACATGAAACCTAAAAAAATATCGATCTCCAGGAATGCTAACTTGACCCATTAAACTCCACATACCAGGAACTCATGATCATTAAAGCTTTATGTTGTAAATTGCAGTAATATATTACAAGGATTTCCAAGGATTTCCGAGTATTACATGTCTTGCCATGTTAATTCACAACCACTCGTTAGAGGTCATTCGTTTAGACATCGATGCAGAGCTAGGCGAGCAGTATTGTAATATGGCAGTGTATTGTATCGTTTAACAGTGATTGTAGCCGTGTTGCATTGTTTCTGTTTGGGGTCCGGTAGACGTTCATTGCATTGCGTTTGGACAGTGATCAGTCGTCAGTAAGTTACTACATTTAGATGCTAGTGTCCGGTATAGCTGTCATCTTCTGGAACCGCTAGACTGGTGAGGGCACTGTCGAAATTTTCAGTAGCTTGTTTGACTGTATTTACACTTTTCATCTCTTCGGAACCAGCTTTCATATGAGGATCGCTCATCATCCCTCATTTTTCCTGCCTTGCCCATCTCGGAAGCATGACCACTTTCGCCGCTGGGTGAATATATATTAATATCACCGACTTTGCTGTCACTATTGTATTTTTAGTATCTGATACTGTCCGCTGCCATCATATTATATATTGCCATTGAATATGGTATTACAACTCTATTGTGTGCTGCCATTGTAATTGCTTTGTAATAATTTGTTTGGATTTGTAAACTTAGTTATTTTTTTGTACCACATTTGTTGATTGTATACCACTTGTTAGTTGTTTGTTGGTTTCACACTAAGTAACTACTCAATAAAATATTTTTTGGGAGATTAAATCAATGTGTTTCCTGTCTGAATAAAACTAGCACCGATTGGTGACGTCATGATGTCTTCTTCATCATTTGTATACGCTGTTCAAAGATGTATAGAGGAATGTTATTCCCTGTGAAGAAAAAAAGCTTGATGATGTCAAACATCTCCCAGGCCGGGATGTGATCTATAAAATAGTCGGCCCCTTAACAGATCGTGTATTATGCAACTGAGTCTGGAAGTGAAGTTGTAACTATAACCAATGTAATATCTGTCTATATTCATACATAATTCAGGCAGCTCTATGGCACATGTCCCAGCGGCGTTCCAGCAGGATGAACACTGATTACCGGGTAACAGGTGGTGTTAGTCTGAATCGTACAAAGGACACTGATTTTGGTAGAGAATGTTTATTCTATTGAATTGCCATTTCATATTTATGGTTATGTCATTTTAATTATAGTGAAACCCACAAGCACGGGTATTCAGCTGACAAACCTATAAACATAATCGGGGCGAACCGGGATTCAAACCCATAATCATAGGTTCCTGGCATGCCCAAGGGACGCAACTCTGCATAGCGAATCGCGGCGCCTTAGACGACTGGGCCACCCGTTGCCCCCGTTTTAATTATATATGTATATATGTACATGAATGCTAACACTGTTGTCGGTATATGTCGTGTATATGATAAACTGGATGATAACTTCAGACAGATACTTTAGAGCCTTCTGAATGTACGAGTGTAGTAGACAAGTATTTTAATATGAATAATCGTATGGTAGTATTTGAATACAAATAAATGTACTTTTGAGTCATCAGAGTAACTAGCATATGGCATAAAGTCATAACATGTGCTTATAACTGTACCACCATGTTTAAATAAAAATTATTGGTACGGATGGTTCCATGGAGAGCTGGTGATTGTTTTGAGGCTGAAAAATACCGCAAAGTTATTCTGACTATGAAGAAAACAATCTCATCAAACAACGGTGTCGGGCTATGCTGACACCAATCACATTGGCTTGTTGATTCCCATGGATTTTCTACTCATTCCACAATGTCACCACGGCATCTGTGAGATGGTCTCTTATCCACGAACTATATGCAATCCTTATCACACCCCAGAACAACAACGACTGACTTATTGTATCTGGCCACCACATAAAGCATCTCTTTCTACAAACCAGAAATGAGAGCCAGTGACACATTAAATAACAACTAAAATACGTGTTTGTTTGTTGTTTAACGAGGGACTCTGCATGGGGAAGGCCTAAAAATCATTTAGTCTGGACCAGACAGTCGAGTGATTAATTTTATGAGCACCCCTCAACGCCATCGGGCTATGATGACATGTAATCAGCCAAGTCACAGAGACCATTTAGACGCCTCTTACAACAAGCGTTGGTTGATGAGGATCTTTTCTTACTAAGAATCTGACCAATGCTGATATTACACGAAGGTCTGTTGTAGAAGGTGTGAACATGGATAATTTCACATCGTACGTGGAAATGCTTCAGGAAATGTTCCACAAAGAGATCGTAATGCTAGGATGGTCGTAATTCTCAAACTTTAACATTTACTTAGCGCTACGATCGTTTTGTTGAAAGGGTACCTGCTTTCTTACGAGGCTTACGCATGGAATTCAATCTCAAAAGGGCATGATACAAATGCCCAGATGACTTCAAACACTGCAAGATTTGCATGTACAATTCTAACGTTGTAATGCACTGGTCAACGAGACATGTAATCGTTTCATCCAACTGATGCACGGATGCTTGTCTGTGAAAACGTCCAGTGATTGTGAAGGCCATGTCAACGAAACGCCAGTATCATGATAATCTACAGAACGTGGTAAGTGGGGAGGTTACAAAAGATATATCGAAGTTATCTGCGACCAAGAGATTATTCCAAACGATCTGTTCAACTATTTAACAGTTCTTTGAACTTGGAGCAGCATATATCTCAAGAAGGTTTTTACAAATTTGAATTACATCTATCACAGGTGATGGAGCTACAGATGATGGAGCTACAGGTGATGTGAATCACCAGGGCGTAAAACACACTTACCTGACCAGCATCCTTGCTCTGTAGCACGGTCAGAGAGGGAACCACGAACACAAGCGTAACTCCGAGGCTTAGAGTGAAACACATAATGCATATCCTTTCATAGGGACATCGCTTGCAGTCGTCCTCGTGGACTGGCACAGTGAACATCTAGACTACACAAAAGGTTCCGACAATAACACCTAATGAGGCTATCAACTTTCAATTACTTGTCGACAACATCCTGCGTCTTTCATCATGTGTGCCTCTATCTTCTTCACGTCTATGATGTCAGACACACGGGCTGCGAAGTGTGGAGAGCAGTGTTGAAACTTCAGCCAACACTGGAAAAACTCCTGAAAAACTCGCGCATGAAGAACACATACAAGCACACCGAGAATCAATCAAATCACGGCGATATAAACCTGTTGGTGGGGAAAAAAAGAAGTTTTGATGTTCTTAGTGGCAAGACTCACACGTGCCGCTGGTATGTTATGCAGTGAGCATGTCTATGTTAGCTGGTGGAAATAGTTGGCTCTAGATCGATCAGGGAATGCTGGGATTGGCGTTATCGTCGCCTGATTGACCGTGGGGGTTCACCCAAGCAGTGGAAGCAAGCTATGAAAAAAGTCAGCGCAACGGCTTTACGGTTCACACTCTTGAAATGAAGGCAGGTATATATCTCGACCTGTTTTCAAAAGATTGGTTTTCACACCAGGGGTGAAAAAACCCAGCGGTTTCAGACGAGGGGAGAGCCGGAATCGCAGTGATTATAAAATGCAATGTTGCTTCGCATTAGCTGCTGATTAAAATGACGGTGGCGATCTTAATCTCATGGGGAATGTTTCCTGGACATTAAATAACACTTAAGTTGTCGTCAGAGCCTGCATATATGTAGATATATGAATGTTGGCTTTAACACCGCTTTGAACGGAAATTTCAATTACATGTAAACGGCAACATTGTGACGAAAATGGCATCATGCATGTTTGACAAGCAATGCGTCATATTTAGTAAATGTCTGTGAAGGTCTAATCTAACATTTCAGGCATGAACTAATCAGGCCTTACATGGTCTAATCTTTCCTTCCCAGATATTTGAAAGAATGTACACGCACTAAAGTACATGCTTAATTTAATTTCGTTCTGATAAGTATTTTCTGAGATAATAACACGTGGGTAAATATTTCAATATTCAAGTGCACTTTTCAATTTTAAATAACTTGTGAAGCTCTTTAACAGATCCTTTACCTTATGTGTATTATTAACATTTTGCATGTACGGTAACAACTTTTCGGAAACAGTGATATCTTCAGATTGTGAGCCCCGTTATGAACCTTCCTTTTCGCGGAATAATCGTGTCCACTGCTTCAGGAAAATTTAACAATAAAATTTAATAATCTTTAATGTGTATTCACATCGGCTGATACATCCACCCACTCACATTCCTCTACAATTGCGGGGCTGTCAATTCAATTATTAACTCTTCTTTGGGGTATTAATGTTTAACTGATTCCTATCATATCAACCCAAGGAGATGTCATACGTGGACGATGCTTCTCTGTCATAACTAATTGAAGATGTCACCTTTAAGCTATATCAGTCTGGAAGGAGGTTCCTGTAGCGCCTTCTCGTATATTGAATGCAAACATATTATACTTTTAGGATGACCGTCAAATGCACAGGAATATGTAAGTAATGTCGTGAGGTTTATTTCTAGTAATAACACGGCACGTCAACTGAATATGAGAGGAAATATTTAAGTGAGGCAGGCCTTAGATTTTCACCTCTTTGCTAAAACCCACGAGCAAGGGTATGGGGTGAAGGGAACACGAATCATAATCCAGGCCAATCTGGGATTCGAACCCATGATCATGGGATTGTAGCACACCTAAGGGACGCAACTCGACACAAACGTGCCACGATACGAGAATAGGAGTCCCCTGTCATAGACAATGCTAAAAATCTGCCATAAGAATGTGTATGCTCAAGCACAATGCAAACAATTTTGGCAACAATTATACGACCCCTATGCCTGTTAGTAGCCACATCTATGTATTTATATAAATACGTCAGCAGATCTGGGGGAAATCGGTTCTCAATTACTTTATATTTCCAGGCTTGTCTTGCTTTCTTGAGAGTGGTGTTTTTTCAAATGTGATTACGTGCCGACAGAGACGTATTTGCCTCATTTGACAGATATGGATGTGGCTTATGGCAGACGTTCTGACAACTCCCGTGGGATTTAACTGAAAAATGCAGAGCTTTTACTGATCATTTTACACTTATCTGCCCGTAAACAACCACGCGTTGAAGACAAATGTCTCTCAGAATTTCTTTAAAACCAAGGATTCCTTAAATTATGATCTTTGGTCTTTGGTCACAAATTAACACATTTCTCACAAAAAACGTCTAGGTTCTGCTAAACTATGGAACTCCCACCTGTAACAAGTTATTAAGGTTATATCAGTGGATAGAGTGGCTGCCCGGAGAGCAGAAGGTCGGTAGTTCGATGACGGAATGTCGACCGCGTCACACGTTTAAAGATGGTACTTGTTGGTACCCTGTCTGGCGTTCGGCATTAAGGTGGCTGGTCGCCTCGGAGTCAGTTTACTGTATCTGACTGGGCTATCCATGTTAAAATGCGGCATTGTATCTCAGTGGGCTGGCACTATAAAACCGGGTTAACGTTCGGTCTAGTACAAATGGATCGAACCACCGACATTCCGTTCTCGGGGAAGACATTTGTCAAAGATGATTCTTCTTCATAGATTAGTACCGACATCCCCAGTCCAGTCTAATACATAGAAGGTGTTCCTTCCTAATAAATGATGGCAGGTCCGTCGACCTCAACACGAATGTGGCCTTTACATACTATTTAGTCACAAAAATATAATTTAAAAGGGCGGATGCTACTTGTAGACATAACAGATTGCTGTCGTTTTCTACTATTAATGGAACAAATCCCTGAAAGTAAAGTAGCTAGCTAATATTGCACAAGTCGCGAAGATTTGATATCGTGAGTGAGTGAGTATGGTGTAACGCCGCTTTTAGCAATATTCCAGCAATATCACGTGGGGGTACACCAGATATGTGCTTTACACATTGTACCCATGTGGGGACTCGAACATGGGTCTTAGGCCAGACGAGCGAACGCTTTAACCACTAGCCTACCCCCCGCCCCTGGATTTGATACAGGCAGTGATATTATTCAAAAGTACAATAATTTTGGACGCGACGTTAAACCCATTTCACCTCACCTCACCAACTATGTTAAACAGTTTTTGCAAGATTTAGAAGATCTCCTTTCTTACGAACCATTTCCCATGTTTGTGATGATTTACCGAGCTTTCTCTTTTCGCAATTGTGGACAGAATGACCTTGAGAGACCTTGCTAAAATCCATCTCGCGATATTCACCACCTATATGTTATCAGCGAGATTTCCAACTAGAAAATGGGACAATTTGGGGATCTGGAGAAATTGCATCTCCTTGTGAACATCCTTTCCTGGGTATCCTGGTACCACTTAGAGAAGCAACTCAGCGAACTTCGAGTCTGGGGCACTGAGCTATCCTTGCCATATGCTACTACTGACATATTTCAAATAATGTCACTGATAAATAAATGCATTACATAATTCATCATAACGGTAGTCCTGTTAACACACCATCTCCTACATGTGTCCATCACGTGATCTTGTCGGCTCGCAGTCAGCATGCTGTGTCTGAGTGGGCTATTAATTGCGGCATGGTATCTCAGTTAGCTAGCACTATAAAATCGTTTGGACAAATACAAGCCACACACATATATAATAAGTCACACACGCTATATAAGGGCAATAATCTTGGACGCGACGTTAAGCCCAATTTTACCTCAACTGATTAACATTCAATATATGTTCATATTCTTAGTCACATTCTTAATTTTTCTAAAGTTGTTCACGATACTGTGGGCCATATTTGAATAGCTTACTAAGATTGTTATTGTCAACAACTGAGAAGACACCTATGATTTATGATCAACAGGTTGATAGCATTATGAAGAATCGTGTTCAAGTCAACATTCTGCATCACGTTCCTATAATTGAAGAACTTGAATGAGATGGAGTTCACACAGCAGAACTGAAATAATGATCAAAGCAGCGTTAAACCCAACTCGCTCATCATTTGATGTGCATTGCTTAAGCTTATTACAGGTTAGTGAGTCTCTAAAGGTGGATGTCGTTACCAGGATTGGATATTAGTTTCATTCCAAGAAATGAACGTATTAAGATTTCTAACGAACCATTCAGACATGCCAGCTTTTATATCAGCCTTTCGTGATGAAGGTCGTGTGCTGTTTTAGATGAATGCTATCCGAGCAATATCATAGCTGGTACACACATCCTCTGAAAAGGTTCTCTACAACACGTCAGATACTCAAATAGACATACGCCCAGTTGTCTTTTAGAAGAGTAGGCAGAGACAACATGTGCCCACTAGTACAACGGAACAATGCTAGAATGCATTTAAACACACAAGACCCCTTTTTCGGGTAGACTTCATGTGCGCTCACCAGAAATAAGCATGTTGGTGATTGCGAAGCTGGAACCCTCTCCCCATGGCTTCTTATAGGAATGGTCGTTTGTTTTCTTTCAGATGAGACGAATGTCATATGCAGGTGTAATGTAAACACTTTTACTTACAGGCATATCCTATAGGGTATTACACTTTACCATGCAACATGAACATTCCGATAATTTATAGAATTTATATGAGTGCACTAACCCTACATCCGAGGCTGAATGATTTTTCGTGTGAATGAGTTGAGCACGATTCTAGCGGTGGATGACTACACAAATGGGCTTCGCCTTGATCATGAACCACTAATCTACCCCACCGCCCCTACATGTAGTTGTCTTGTATCTTTAGATTATAATTATCAATCAGTATAAGCAGTTTAGTTTTGGAAATCGTTTGTCCAGAAACTATCGGAGCTGCGGCGGGTCTTGTTATATACATTTAGCACATTTTGGACATGGTGTTTTCAGGTACATGTACAAAATGAAGAATACAAACGACAAAACAATTTCCATAATCATAAGTGATATCTGCTACAACAAGGGTCGGTTGCTAGATTCCGACTATATAAAAATAATACACAAAGATGACAAAACCCTTTTCATATTCATAAGAAATCTCTTCCAAAAGCAGAGTCGATTGTATGATTACGACTGTATCATGAGCATGTGTCTGTGAATCATTATCAAATAATGATGATACCAGGTGTTCGCGAAAAGGTAAGTATATCCGACCCCACCGATGGCACACGTCACAAACACATACAAAGGCATGTCAACTATTCACCTGCACAAACACTGAAAAATATGGAACAAACAGGGAATTGAACGTAAACGATAACACCATTTGAACTATAAATAAACATTGATTTCTAACTAGATTTTAAAGTATCGTTAACTGAAAATGACATCTGTATGTTGGACATGGCATTACCATTTTCTCATAAAAAGGAAT